CCATACTGTCAGTTCAATGAAAACCAAAAGGAAAATGAATACAGAAAAAAAAAAAAAAAAGGTGGGAATGCACCGCAAAAGGTAAATGCTAGCTTCAAACAACAGAGCAAATAGTTTCCAAGTTTAGGAAGATTAAAGTCTTGTTTTTAAGAGGATATTTACCACTAATGCAGTTCATCAGGCATTCTCTAAGACTCTAACGGGGTGTTTGGTTGGCATGAATTGCGTTGGAATTAAATTGCAATTCAATGAAATGATAAACTAAATTGTTTGGTTTGAGGGAATTGCAATTCCCTCAATTCATTGAATTGCAATTCATAGGCCCCCCCTATGAATTGCAATTCAATGAATTCATGCAAAGGGAAAGGGAAGGAAAAGACATATTTGTCCTTGAATGTTATTATTAATATTATTACACAAAGGGTATTTTAGTCTTTATATCGCTTCTCCCATTTTCATTATTTCTCCCTACCAAACAATGTAATTGTTATTCCCACCTTATTCTTTTCGCACCGAATTACAATTTCTTTCCTCCTTAATTCCTTCCTTCCAACCAAACGCCCCGTAAAAGGCAACTATTAGTACCTCTTTACTTATAACTTAGTGGCTCCGTATCTTCAGGTAAGAGCAAATCATACTGTAACACAGTAATTTGGTCATCTAGTCATAAGGACATATTCACTACAATAAGAAGAAATAAATAAATCATGCCAATGGCAGTACCTTTAAGAACCAGTCGTACAGTGAGAAGAAAAGTGGCCGACCAAAAAGATCAGAAACAGCACCTTCAGCAGTAGGCATGGACCCAATTTTTCCCCCACTCAACAGATTAGTGAGGAGATTGCTTGCATTGTCTAACAAATTCATTTTTGTTTTGCGCTCATCCGTACTAGTGGACTGGCACCTGCATTTCAGTTCAAATCCACATCATCCGCAAGCATCCTTAGCTAAATTTCTTCCACTTAAATAAAAGCCTGTGAATACATTAATGAACGATCAACTTAAGCCTGTGAATGGGATATCCCATCCCTATTTCCATTTGAAACAAGTATTGAAATTTACTCAATCCAGCTTCCCTTCTGTCCTCAGAATGCAGTACATAGAGACAAACAAAGACTAAAAGCGTTTATCCCCTATTATAATCTAAGATTGAGTTGGGGTCACCTATATGTTCTACTCAACTAGGCTATAATGCACATGAGCCAAACCGCACTAAAAAATTGATCCAATCAATCAATTAGTCTAACTCATAGCCTAATAAACCCATATATTCTCTCTTATTTTATCAATGTGGGAGTAACTAACGAAATATAGAAGTGCAACAAAAGCCTAGTAAAGGATGCGTAACTCAACTATCAACTAAGCTAGAATGTCATTCATGTTGAGGGGTGTTACAATATTCGATTTCTATATTTAAATCCTTTTTTAGTGCGAGATCAGGTTCCTCGCATAATTGCTACGAAGAAGTTCAGTATTTCGTAATACGGCCATCAGTGCAAATGAATCTTTAGGCGCAAGAAGACTAAGACAAGACTACAAGAGTACTTATTTTTTTAGTTCATATGACCCTGCAAACCCGACAGAAATACTGCTAGTAAAATATATGAAATAAAGGGAGAGAGCGAGAGAGACTACCGAATTCGACACCCTCCACTGGGCTTCATCTTGAAGGAACTGCCATGACTATGTCTAGTACCCGCAGTCCTAGAAGAAATAGAGGGCAAACCAATACAAGAACGGCCGAGCCCACAGTCAGTGTGAGTAGCAGCAACGCAGCACCCAGTCGCCATAGACTTTTATCAAACAGATGGAGTGCAAGAATCCTAAGAACCAAGGAGACGAAGAGCCGAGGTGAGGCGAGCTGAGCTCAGATTTACAGCAATGGAGTGCAAATTGGTGCGCCTGCTTTCCAGTGAACTGTATTTGCGCTCTACCCACTGACGAAGCGCAACTCCCATGTGTGAGAGACACGTGGATATATTTGTCCGAAAATGCGGAAGTTGGGCCAACAAGGCAACCATAATACAATGTTGGCATTTTACTATATTTAGTGGCCCGGCGGCCGGCGCATTAATTTCGGTTAATGACTGAAATAGACAAAAGTTGAGTGGAGTGAAAAAAAATCTGCATTTTTTTAATTTTATATATTTTAAGGAAAAATTTCATTGAAATTTGTGTTTGAAGTTAAAAAATGCAAGTCCCATTATAGATTTTTAAATTAACAAAAAAAAAAAAATTGTGTAGAATATTAAAAATGCAAGTCGTATTTATACGAGAAATATAAGTATAATTTGTGTTTCTTGTATTTTACATTTAAAAAAGATCTTTTCGTTAATTTATAAAATTCCATTTGAACTTGCATTTTTATCCAAAACACAAGTTTCAATGTAGTTTTTCTTAAAATATATACAAATTTCAAAATGTGCATGTTTTTTTTCTACCACTCATATCTTTTGCACATTTAAGTCAAAAACCTCATTAATTTTAGCGCACTCCCCTTGCCTTGGCGACTTGAGATAATTTTTTTTTTTTTTTTGGATAGATTAAGTTTCGAGCCCATATATTCCCTCACTTCCTTCACTTTCTTTGTTGTAAAAATCATCAACATAAGAAAGTAGGTACATCTCTCTTAGGCCCCAAGCAACCTAACCCAAGTTCCTGAGTTATTCAAAAACTTATATGGACATTTCAAGCTCATTCCAAGCATTACATAAGCCTATATTTATACCCCAACATCTTTCTCGAACCTACAAAGTTCAACTGTAGCCTAATTAATGACTATTTTCTTTAGTAAAGGCTAACTTGAACAATGACCACCTTTTACCCTATATAAACATGCTTCTCAATTATCTTTTTCATTTTTCTAATAACTAGTATTTGCGCTCGTGCGATGCACGGAATGAATTTGTTGTAATATATTAAGAATATTTGGATCGATATATAATTATTTAAATTAGAACATCAAATATTATATAATGCAATTGAAGGAATAGTTTGGATCATTTATGTGTTTTTATGTTATCATTGCTTGAATTTGAGCAAATAATTGCCAAATTAATATCTAATGTGTAGATGTATGCACGCGGTGCTGTAACTTAGGAGATTTTATTTATCATTGTTCAGTATTTTTATAAATTAGGCAAATGTGCTCGTTCTATAGCAACTCAGTTATAAGAATGAATTGATATCCTAATTCATTTGCATGGAAAATATATTTTTTGTCTAGATATATAGCAATTTTGCCATTTAAAAAATATAATATCACCGATTATATTTACACATTATTGAAACCTCTTTGTAGACAACATTGATGGTAGCAACACAATATTGTCCATTTTCGCCTAGAGCTAACACCTTCAACCCATTAGGATGGGTGACTCGGGTGAAAATATATAATGGTAGAATATCAGTCAATTAGTGATCCTTTTATATTTTCAGTCAATTATTAATATCAGATTCATTTTCAGCCAATTATTCTTTTTTTTTTTTCAATCAAGTAGTCAATTAGAATATTAGATTCAGTGATATTTTTACCTAATTTCCATTCCATTTATTTTTTTGAGCTAGTCATTCCATTTTTAATTGATGATGTAGAATATTTTTATTGAAATATTTCCGTTCTATTTTTTATTTACCTTTACTATTGTTTAAAATATGCATTTACTATTGATGATGTAGAATATTATTATTGAAATATTTTCGTCGAATTTTTAATTTCCGTTCCATTTTTAATTAAAATGCAATGATTTGAGAATTTTTTTTTTCATTTTAGTCAATTATGGATCATTTTTTATTTGCAGTCAATTATTAATATTCATTTTCTTTTATATTTTCAGTCAAATAGTAATATTAGATTCATTTTCAGGCAATTACTTTTTTTTTCAGTCAATTACTATTTATTTTTTATTTTCAGTCAATTAGTCAATTAGAATATGAGATGCAGTGATATTTTTACCTAAATTTTGAACCATTTTTAATTGATGATTGGCGTCGTTTGTGCAGGATCTTTAGGTCGGACGCCGTTTAGCTAGAGTGGTCGGGCCCGACCGTTGGGCTTCCCGATCCTCGGGCCTTCATTTTGTAAAGAGACGAAGATGAAGGAGAAAGGCACGTGGCAATGCTATGCGTTGACAGAGAGGGCTCGCCGGGGTGAAGACGCGTGGAGGCTACGTGGGTTACATGCCGGTAGGCCGGAAGTGTGTCTCCGGTCAGAGGCTATAAGTACCCACGACGGCTACAGTGAGGGGGACTTTTGGACTATCAATAGGTTATTTACAGAGCTGCCCGACCGCATTCAGTCGGATAACCATCTAGATTGTAGTAGGACTACTTTTGATCAATAAAATCCCCTTTTACTATTATTAGTTGGTCTCATTCAGTACTTTGACCGCATTATGTGGATATTTATACTATCATTTTGGCGCCGTCTGTGGGGACCCGGGTACGAAAAGTTATCGTAGACGAGTACCAGATCCCAATCATCAACATGTTTCCGTTCATGTATCGTCGTACCGAGCACCGGAGGATGAGGAAGCAAGTTCATCCGACCACAACTATACACAACACCAGGGTCAGACAATTGACCTCAATCTCAACCTTTCACCTCCACGATCGGCAGCTCCCAACCCGGTTAATTATATTCAACCAATGTATCCAACGCCCGGTCAACAATATCCGTTCCTGGCAAATTATCCCTACCCAGTTCCACCTCCTCAATATGGTTGTTGGCCAGGGACACCAATGTATTATCCACTGGCCAGTTACCCGCTTTACATGCCTGCGTACACTGCTCCAACTTCCTCTCCCCCGAACCAACCGACCATGCCGACCGAGCCCGAGCTTCAGCCCGGTCCCCGGACTAGGCGCTCGCTCACTCGAGGTTGGGATCGCAGGGGGCCGAGGTCATGGAGGAACCACGGTAGGAAACCCATGTTCAAGCGGCTGAAGAGGCCGAATTAGAAGCCAACCGGGCTAGCGCATTCAAGCGACTCCGACCAGCAATGAGGCAAAGATTGGGACCACAGGATCCAAATAGGCGCTCGGTTGATTCTCCCATGCAAGCGGCCAGTCAGTCGGGGTCGTCAGGACATAGCGGGCCTCAAGCGCATCGACGCCGCCGGGCTCGGGAACCAGCCCGCACGGTCGAGCAAGACGAGACCCGAGGAATGTTAAACGATCTTCGAGCAGAATTCACTCGCTGGCAGAATGAGCATGCCTCAAGGCCTCCTCCCGATCATACCGCTTCATTATTGCGGACACCCTTCACGGTGGAGATCATGGCTCAACCTTACCCGCTTGATTTGCGAATTCCTGGAAACAAAGAATATGACGGCCAGACAGACCCGGAGGTCCACATCAGCACCTACTATGGCAATATGTTCATGATGGGCGTAACTGACGCCGTGATGTGCCGGGCTTTTTACTCGACGCTTTCCGGTCGGGCGGCCGAGTAGTTCAGAACATTGCAACCGGGGTCTATTTCTGATTTTGCTAGTTTGGCGACGAAGTTCACTCGGAAGTTTGTCACTTACAAAGTTGTCCGGAAGCCTTACATGTACCTCGAGAAGGCTAAACAGTTGGAGGGGGAAAGCTTGATCAATTTCCTAGTCAAGTGGAAAGCGGCGGTCGGAGAGGTCGAGCCTATGGACGACCTAACAGCCATTCACATGCTACACATTTCTCTCCGAGCGGGTTATTTGTATCCGGATTTTATACTCCACCCGCCTACCACCTATGAAGAAGCGCTCCGAAGAGTGACAGATTATGCCAATGCTGGAGAGGCAAATGCCGTCAAACGCTCCCAAGAGGTTGGATCTTCCCGGAAAGCTTCCGGTCGGTCGGACAACCGGTCGGGCGAAGACCATCCCCGACCACGAGCACGACCGGGAGATTTCACGGCGTTGAACCGATCGGCTGCGGAAGCCATGCAATACGCCCAGTCCTGCAACCTCATTCGTCTACCTCATCCGGGACCGGATGGGCAGGATAAGTCGAAACATTGTGCTTATCATCGGTGTGCTGGGCATGACACGGAGGAGTGCACCCATCTGAAACAATTGTTGGAAGATTTACTCCAGTTGGGGAAGTTGGATAAGTGTGTGGGGAAGAGAGAAGAGAGCAAAAAACCATCTGAAAGAAAGGATCACAGACGCTCCCATCGCCCTAATCGATCAAACCAGGACCGGAGAGATCAAGACCGGTGGGATCCCGATCCACCTTCGAGTGGTCAGCAAGCCTCAAAACCGACAATCCATGTTATATTCGGGGGCTTGGAAGATGCTTCCCAAGCTCGAAATCCTTGCCCGGTCGTGATCGTCGACTCCCGGGAAACCAGTAAGAGGCAAAAGATGGAGCCGATCACCTTTTCTTTGGAAGATCAACCAGAGAGCGAAGACACCGGGATGGAGGCGCTTGTTGTTACGATCGACATCATGGGAGTCGACGTACAAAGGGTGATGGTAGACACCGGGAGCAGTGTTAATGTCCTTTACTTGGACGTTTTTTAGAAGCTAAAACTTGACCGCCAGGAGCTAATTCCGGTCGGTGTACCCCTGTCGGGATTTACCGGGGCTACCATCTGCCCCGAAGGAAAAATCATCTTCCCGGTCGAGTTAGGAACTCCGCCTAAATCAGTCAAGACGGATATGGAATTTGTGGTCGTGAATCTCCATTGCGTCCACAACGTGATCCTAGGCCGCCCGGCCATCATGAAGGTCGGGGGAATAATATCTATGCCTCACCTGTGCATGAAGTTTCCTACCCCGGCTGGGGTTGGGGTTCTACGCGGTGACGCTCAATCGGCCAGAAAGTGTTATACTCGAGCAGTTAATCGGCGTGATGCGGGTTCGTCTTGAGTAAACACCATCGTCCGGGAGGCTGTTAAGGACTGGAAAGAACAGTCAGAGTCATCTGAAGAGATAGAGGAAGTTCCTTTATCGGAAGATCGACCGGAGAGAAAGATAAAGATTGGTCGGGCCCTTACCCCTGAACTGCGATCGGAAGTGTTAGCAATCCTCCGGGAATTCGCTGATATATTTGCATGGGGGCCCGAGGATATGCCCGGGATTGATCGAACGGTTATTTTCCATCGGTTGGCTGTAGACCCTGCGGCTAAACCGATTGTTCAGAAGACCCGGCACTTGTCCTCCGATCGCCGAGAGTTCGTTCAAGAAGAGGTGAAGAAGATGGCTGCGATCGGGCACATACGCCCGGTCACTTATCCCGAGTGGGTGGCCAATATAGTGTTGGTCCCTAAGCCTCCATCTTGGAGAATGTGCATCTACTTCACCGACCTGAATAAAGCATGCCCACTGGATCCTTATCCCCTGCTGAGTATTCATCAGATGGTCGATGAAACGGCTGGGGCCGAGTTCATGAGCTTCATGGACGCTTTCAAAGGTTATCATCAGATTATGATGAGCTATGAAGACGAGAGCAAAATGGCATTCGTCACGCCTGATGGTTTATATTGCTACCAGGTCATGCCATTTGGCCTACGCAACGCGGGAACAACATATCAGTGCATGGTCAACATGCTCTTTGAGGACCTGCTAGGCCGGACGATGGAAGCTTACATTGATGATATGCTAGTGAAGAGTCGAGACCGAGCAGACCACACTCGGGATCTCCGACAGTGCTTCCAGATCATGCGAACGTACCAGCTACGTTTGAACCTGACCAAATGTACATTTGCCGTGCAGACCGGGAAGTTTCTCGGTTACATGATGACAAAGAGGGGGATTGAGCCAAATCCCGTCAAAGTTAAAGCAACCGTCGACATGCAACCACCCACAACCATCCGGGAAGTCCAACAATTGACCAGGAGACTGGCAGCCTTGAGCAGATTTCTCTCGAAGTTGGCCGAGCGCGCTCTACCGTTCTTCAAAGTGCTCCGAAAGGTCAATGGATTCGTGTGGGATGAGGAATGTCGCGCAGCTTTTGATAAGTTGAAGGAATATTTTATGTCTACGATCGTGCTGTCTAAGCTCGAGCCTGGGGAAGAGCTTGATGTCTATCTAGCCGTGTCCGATCGAGCTGTAAGTGCGGTGTTATGCCGAACAGATCTGGAGGGGGTGCAGCGACCTGTGTACTATGTGAGCCACGCGCTCCATGGGCCCGAGCTCCGCTACTCCCTATTAGAAAAGGTAGTCTTTGCCTTATATACGCGGCAAAGAAGTTGGCTCCCTATTTTCAAGGCCGAGCTATACATGTTTTGACAGACCAACCGATCGGCGCAGTCCTCTGCACTGCTTCATCATCTGGACGCTTAGTCAAATGGGCATTAATGTTGACGCAGTACGCTATAGACTACCGACCACGACCGGCGATTAAAGGTCAGGCCTTGGCCGATTTTCTGGTCGAGTGCACCGCTGGGGAAGTCCAACCTCCAGTTGAAGAAGATCCTGAGGCCGCTTGGTGGTCGTTGGCTACTGATGGTTCAAGTAGCAAGAAGGGAGCGGGCGGAGGAGTCGCAATCACTAGCCTAGAAGGATTTAAAGTTTATTATGCCCTGATGTATCAATTTTCCCCGACCAATAACGAGGCAGAGTACGAAGCGTTTGTCAACGGGTTACAATATGCTCGGGACTTGGGGGCTGAGTACATCCGGGCACAGACCGACTCAGCGTTGGTTGTCGGGCAAGTCCTCGGTGATTATGAGGTCAATGGAGAACGGCTACAAACTTATCACGACTTAGCGATGGAGAAGTTGAATTTCTTCCGAGCATATACTGTCCGTCATGTTCCCCGATTGGATAATGCTGATGCGGACATCCTCTCGAAGCTTGCACAACACGCACCCGAGCATATGTCCAAAATTGCTCGAATTTTAGTGATTCCGAGGCATAGTATTCACCGCTTACCGGTCGCCCCTATCCAACCGGCTGAGGAAACATGGATTTCTGATCTGATGGAATACCTGCAGCACGACCGATTACCGGATGATCCACAACGGGCGCGAAAGGCGAAGTTGAGGTCACCGAGATTTCAGGTGCAAGACGGACGGTTATACCGACGATCGTATGGTGGTCCTCTGCTGCATTGTTTGAATTCCTTTGAAGCAGACCTGGTAATGAACAAGTTGCATTCGGGTATATGTTCGTCGCACCAGGGAGGTCGATCGTTGGCTCGACGTATCATGGTGATCGGGTACTATTGGCCGTCCATTCAACTGGATTGTGAGAAGCTTGCGAGGAATTGTGAGACATGTCAGCTGTACGCCCAGATGCCCGGACGTCCGGCAACCTTCTATCAGCCGGTCACGACCGCTATCCCGTTTGCTCGATGGGGGGTGGATATCTTGGGGCCCTTTCCGCAACTATCCGGGCGACGACTTTTTGTTATCGTGGCGATAGATTACTTCTCCAAATGGATCGAGGCTGAGCCCTTGGCCACGATTACTTCTCAACAGTGCACCAGGTTCTTATGGCGGAATGTGATTTCTCGGTTTGGCGTTCTCGTTCACTTTATAAGTGACAACGGTCGACAATTTGTGAGTCAATATTTTCAAAACTTCTTGGCGACGATCGGGACGACTTCGATCCGATCATCGGTAGCTTACCCGCAGGGGAACGGCCAAGTGGAAAATGCCAACCGAACTATCTTAGAAGGCCTGAAGAAGAAGTTGCACTCGGTTGGTCGTAGTTGGGCCGAGGAACTCCCATATGTGCTCTGGACTTACCGCACAACCCCTAGAGAGGCAACGTTGGAAACATCGTTCGCTCTCGTCTATGGTGCTGAGGCGCGTTTACCGATCGAAGCATGGATCCCGACCGCTAGAGAACGGTCGTTCAATGCGAATGAAAATGAACATTCTATGGTCGTGGATCTAGACGGTGTGGAAGAGAAGAGGGAAATTGTAGCCAGACGCATGGTCGAATATCAAAAGATGGTGAAGAGCACTAAAGATATACGAGTAGGGCTGTGCAACGGACGGATCGGATCGGATCGGACTGGTTTTCTGTTCATCCGATCGGATTGCGGATTGAAATTTTGAAGTCCTATCCGTCCGTTTTGAAACTAAAACCCTATCGGATATGCTATGTCGGATTTCGGACTACTCGGATCGGATGTCGGACCTAATTCGGATTTGGAAAAGTTCATTGATAATTGAAAATAAAAAACTGAAAAAACATAATAATGATAATATGATTAACAAAATAAGTAATAACTAATAAATTAACAAACTAAAACATGCAAGTGATGCAACAACTTAATAATGGACATTTTGGAGAGCAAAATAATTCAAGTTTACAAACCAAAGTGCAAAAAGTAAACGAATACATAAAGAATATAAGTTTAAGTGTTTAACTTCCAAAACATTACAAATTTGAAGTTAATCACTTAAACAGAACTTCAGCAAAACAGCAAGTCAGCAATCATTCAAGTAATCCAGTCTAGGCCTTTTCATCAAATCATCAATCACCATTCACCATTTCTACACGACTACACTTCTTCCTGTTAATATGAAAACTTAACAGAATATTAGATTATTAGACAACCTATGTAGTCAACAGCTAACTAAGTAGGGGCATTAGGCTAATAGCCTTATAGGCTCAGATTGCAATTTTCCATTTCAAGCTAGGATAGTGGCAAATTGCTCAAATGTGTTATTATAGCACATGAGCAACATAGCAACACTATACCATTTGTTCAGACAGTGGTGGAAGCATCATCATTGCCAAAAAAACAAGTAAGAATAAATAATAATGCATTAAAACTGAACAGAGATCAGTTAAGAGGATGAGAGAAATACCAGAGATCCAGAATGGATGTAATGGGTGTTATGGGAGTATGGCAACTCTAAGTGGGGCAATATTTCTATAATATACTTATAGAAAGTTGCCAAGCCACTTAGACTGCAGATATTCTCACAGTTTCATCTTTTGAAGGCCATCAGCAAACAACAGTACAACACCATAACATATAAAGATAAATAATTACTGAAAACATTACAGGAATGGATGGCAGCATTGATGGTAGAGTAGTTCCAGCTCCAGTGGGTAACTCTGCAAAACAGTTAAGAATTAGTAGTTAGTTATAGACTTACAAATTACAAAAGTACAAAAGAAATGATGTAAGAAATATATATATATATATATATATATATATATATATATATATATATATATATATATATATATATATATATATATATATATATATATATATATATATATATAATTTACCTTTCTCCAATCTCTCAACCTCATCTAAATTTTCCTCAACTGTGATTGGCTGATTATGTAACCTCAACCAATCTTGGGTACACAGTAAAGCTTCCACAATTTTAGGAGTCAAGGAACTCCTAAATGCATCAAGCACCCTCCCACTTGTACTAAATGCACTCTCAGATGCAACTGTGGAAATAGGAACTGCAAGTACATCTCTAGCCATTTTGGAGAGAATAGGAAATCTCTCACTATGATTCTTCCACCACTTTAGAACATCAAAACTCACAGATTCATCATCCTCAACCAGATTTTCACTCAAGTAAATTTGTAGCTCT